CTTTCATACAAAACAAAAGGCAAAGTATTAAAACCATTAGTGCTAATAATAATTTTTTTTCTTTTAAAGGACATTAAGTTTCTTTATGGGATTTTCCCTAGACAAACTTCCTATAGTTTCTATTGAAATCTTGAAATCATTCTAAACAATATCCCACATCTCAAGGTTCTATGGAAGCAAATAAACTCTTATTATATAACTACAATAAATATACTAAGAGCCATGAAAGCAAGGTGACTTAGTTGCCTTAGTTGATCATCATTTGTTTTTTTTTATTTTCTTAAACCTCTATGTCTTCTTTTAGAGCCTAAAGCTTTGATACCAAATATAAAATCAAGAGCTAGGTCTAGGAAAGGTGAATAAACCTTCATAAAACTATTGAAAACTTATAAAAAAATAAAAATTTGATGGCCAAAAAATTAAAGCCAAAGAAGATAAATAAATTTAAATATAAATGAACTATATAAGTGAAAAGATAGGAAAAAAAATGAAATTAAAAATAAAAACACAATGATATATTCTAGTTCGGCAATGCCTATATACTCTTTTTTTGTTTTTAGATTTTTCAATTCACTATGTTTTTTTATTTACATTGCATAGGTGAGGAATAAACCTTTTATAATATTTGATCTACTTTTTAACCTGAGTATTAATTTAATATCACTCTCAATTCAATATTATTTTAAAGAACACTCAAATGATTATGTTTATCTAAAATACACATCAATCAAACTAAACATAATTAATGACACAATATGAACATTTAAAAAAGATATATTTATACTTGTTTTTGGGCTAACTTCATTTGAAAAAACTTAACACAATTCTCTCTCAATTAAGATTTGCAATTTATCTTTCTTTATGCTTTAAATTTTTGTTAATTGATTTTGAGAATTTAGAGCTTTCTTTACAATTTTATTTATCTCTCTTTTTTTTTTAATTTTGTTAGCATAATTGTATCCTTTTATTCTTATTGCTTTCACTCTAAAAAATCTCTTGGTATGTTGGGATTTTTTTTAGAATTTCAATATGCTTGTTCTATATCTTTTGGCTATGATTACAGTGCAATCTACGCCACGCTTAATTGCAAGGTAATGTTCGCTTCAATATAAATTAAGTTCTAAGTTGTTTGAGCCAAGGAATTTATAGACAATGGCGATAAGGATATAAATAAAAGAAAGCGAAATGCATCTCTCTTTCTTTCTTTCTTTTTTAATTAATATGAGTGTTAGAAGTAGATTATATTAACTTTAATTAATTTTATAAATTTTAAAATTAACAATCACGTAAATTTTTAATTATTTTAAAATTTATAAAATTCAAACTAATAATTTTTAAAAACTAAACTTAAAAACTAATCAATTACTTCTTTTATTTCTTAGAATCATAGCACTTAGCACACTAGTACCATCGAACTTTAATTAATTTTATAAATTTTAAAATTCGTAAATTTTTAATTATTTTAAAATTTATAAAATTCAAACTAATAATTTTTAAAAACTAAACTTAAAAACTAATCAATTACTTCTTTTATTTCTTAGAATCATAGCACTTAGCACACTAGTACCATCGAAACTTCTGTCCTGCATGTAAAAGTGGCTGTTTAAGCTTAGATTTACAAGATATTCGTGGGGTTTGTTCCCGAAGGATATGCTGTATGTAACCTTACACTATAAACAAAATCGAGATGGAGTACTTGGTTTTTTTTTTCTAAGTTCTTTCAATTTAAAGGAGCATTTTGGACATTCCAAAATTGTTTTAAATACTCATCTTACTTTTGGTCCTTATAGTTAGTCTCCTTTCACGTTTGGGTCCCTCACTGTAGAAAGAAGAGCAAATCGAGAGAGAATCCATGGGAAATCCTTGTTTTGACAGTTATTATGGCTGAAAAGGGTGTCATTAGATTCTTAATGATATGCTGAGTTCATTAGTGTCCATAAAAGACTTCTTAGGGACTGAAAAAATTATCCGAAAATAAATTCTGAAGATTTGTTGGATTTTTAGTGATTTAGAGTGGATAAATAGATTTTGAAGCCTACCGCAGGTTTTGAGAGGCTATAAAGATTAACGAGGATTTCTGCCTTTGGATCAAATATGGTGAAAATATGAGGTTTGAGGGGCTGGCTCATTTCCGGTGACCAAAGAAGAAAGAGCATTTCCCAGCCTAGGCTCGCAAACTCAATTTTTTATTGTCTTTTTTTAATTTTCTCAGTTTCCTACAAAATTGATTTTTTATATTTTAATAAAAATTAATTTTAAATAAAAAAACTCTAAACTTTTACAGAATATAGGTTCAACAGCATACTCAAAAATGCTATTATTACATGCCATGGAACACGATACCAAAAAAACTTTGAGAAGCTAGCACATGAAAACCACTATTACTTGCATGTTTTAAGGTGTTTTAAGATGTGTCTAGAAATGTGATTGAAATTATATTTTTAAAAAATTTAATTTTTTTATTTAAAATTACCAGTGGGAGCTTTAATTTTTTTATTTAAAATTTAATTTTTTTACTTAAAATTATCGGTGGGAGTGGGGCTGCTGGGCAGTTTTCTTTGTTTCTCTACTGGGTCCTCTCTATATGGTACGTCTGTCACTCCCGCAATGTCTTATCTGTTCACTGGGCTTACAGAATGTTCAATGGACTATGAAATTAGTCGTGGTATATACAAGCCGACCCAGACACCCACATTAATAAAAAAAAAAAAAAAAACATCCACCCATCTAGGAGGACCTCGC